AAACACTGTTTTAAAAGTTGTATTTTTTTAAGAGAGTACTGTCACTTTAAGAGGTTTCGTGGGAAGCAACATAGAACCACAAGTAAACAAATGGCCAGCAGTGTTTGTGCTGTTGCCATGGCACTTAGTTATTACACGCACTGCTCATTTGTCAAGAGAGAGAGCAGGTGTTTACTAACCTTGTGTGGTAGATGCTTGGGTCACCAAGACAACAACACACCTCATCTCTGATTGGCTTAATGACAAAAAAAGAAAGAAAGAAGATATTTAAGTGAAAATATGGAAAGAGCAAGCTTAAATGTAATGTTGACTTGAAGACTGCTCATTATAGTGATCCAAATATCTAATCAACTTTTGACATCAACAGGAACTCAAAGCATTTATACATGTAGACGTGAAGACAGTCTGCTGAAGGATGACTGAACATGGCATGGCTGCTGATAACAGACGGACCGGTGTGAGTTTTCAGACATTGTTGATGTACGATGTGCTAACGCACAACAATCTCTAGGGTTTATAGGGAGTGGTCAGAAATGAGAAAATATCCAGTGAGCAGCAATGCTGGGCAGTTTTCAGGGAAGTGATCGATCTAGAGTTGTGACTGTTTTGATGAGTTGTAGATTCAAGTGAGAAGGGCATCAACATAGTAGCAAAATCCTTTGGTAGTAAAATATGTGTGGAAACAACAGCAGTGTGTGACAATGTGTAATATGTACGAGGAAATGTGCTGCTGATTTGAGAACTGCATCAAAGTGGTGAGAAGGACTTTCCTGCTGTGAGAAATGTGTCAAAGCAATCAAGAAAAACTGTAAGGTCCCACCACAGCACTTCAATGGAGTAGTGGTCCGAACTATGATTCTTTCTTTTTCAGCCATTCTGCTGTCTTTTTGTCACTGTGCTTGGGATCATTGTGTTGTTTCACTCAGTTTTCACTAAGCTTTGATTGTCAGATTTGACTCTGGGACACTTTAACATACAAAGGAGTTCATGGTTGACTAAGACTGCAAGGTGCCCATGTCCTGTGGCTACGAAACCAGCTTCAATCATCAGCTCTCCCCACTGTGCTTGATGGTTCTGAGGCACTTTTGCTAATATGCTGTGTTTGGATTTCAGCAAATCTCCACTTTAGTGTCATCTGTCTAAACGACACTGCTCCAGACGTTGTATGGCTTATTCACATACAACTTTGCAGCTGTGTTGCCAGTCCTTCCAAGCAAGCTATCATTTTTCACTCTGAGAATTGTCTGGCTTTGGGAGGATTTTCCTTGGACATTTATTCCTGAGAAGATTGGCATCTGTCTACCTTTTTTTTCCCACTTGAGAATAATCTTTATTGTTTTAAAATGCTTGATTTTATATAAAGGCACTCACGTCTCATTTGTCTCTGCAGTGAAGCAGACTGGGACATATCTGTACAGGTCACTGAGCTGTGGTGTCCAGCTGAGAGTGACTTCTGCTTTTCCGAGCACATCGTCTTTGAACACTTTGGTCATGTTCTGGGGGCCACTGACCTGGAAGTCGTGGATGCTTTAGGGAAAGGAATAAACATTACACACAAAAAATCCACAGAAATTCTCTGAGTATTATATCAACATTACAGGGTGTTTGTTTAGGGAAAGCTAGTGCCATAATTAATAATTTCAGCAAGTAAACACCTGGAATGGCGAGCTTCAGCTTCAGCATAAAGCTGGAATGTCTGGCCCACAGTGGCATGAAGAATATCACCGTGTGAAGGGGTTCTGTACAAGAATATGGGCTGCACATGACCGGCTTCACAGTTTGGTATTGGCAGGAGGACTAAAACACAAACAAGGCAGAAAGAATGTAAGTTTTGTTTCTATGAGACTTGACAGTTTCTGGTATTGTGCAGCCATACAATGGCCTCTCTGAGTTAGAGTTGGTTGGTCAGTCACCACATCACAATAAAACGTGAGAGTCTTCAAGCTGCCAGTTAAGTCATAAATTATCCAGTC